AAATTATAAAAAGGAAGATCTTAAAAAAAATGGCAGGCAAAATATGAAAAAAAAATATATAATCTTTTAAAATAATCTTTAATATTAGATTTAAAAAGAAATTTTGTACATCATTTTTTTCAAATAGAAAAAAAAATAAATAACGATTTAGAAAAAAAATGAAATAATTGGAAATTATTAAAAAAATATTTGAAAAATAATTATTTTGATCCCCATAAATTGTCCATCTTTTTATTTAAGAGATTAAATTGTAGGAAAGGAAAGTGTATATAATTTCTCTTACACGTAACATATACAGGTTAATTTGAAAAATATAGCCTTTAATATATTTTTTTTTCTTCCTAAACTAAACATATTGGTTACTCTTTATAAAAAATTTATCATCTCTTGAAATCATTAACTACTTAAAATTTCTCAAAAAAAAACACTTTAACTGATAAAATTTTAAAACTTCTATAGCATATGTGTATAACGCAATACTAAGGAAGCTCAGCTCACGTAAGCATAAAGTTATATACACCAATAAATAAGTAATGTATTACAAGTTTCTCTTACAAAAATTTAATTAATTACACAGGCTTTCAATAAGAATTTTTATAAAATCTGCTAATTATTAAGTGTATCATGTCTTCTTTGGGATATGGAAACTGTGAGGATTCATAGTATCTTAATTATAGATCCTTTGTTAAGGGCGATTTTTAAATTTGTAAAATTTGATTCGACCGGAAATGTAATCCGGTGTATTTCCGTTTCCTGTAAACTTTTGAGCCGCACTTAACTTATATTCATTTATATATATTTCATATAAATTAATTTAATAACGCTAAATTTAATGGAGATTGTCTGAAATTTATAGGGTAGTTATTTTTACATTTGCTTAAGATACATTTCGGGTCAAACCGGATCTAATTTAAAAATCTTCCTCAATAAGGATATTAAGAGATTTCAGAATTTCCATATCCCACTTCGATATATTTAAATATATATTTCTCATTGTTGTAATGGAGTTAAAAAATAAATATAAAAGTAAAAATTATAGGATTTTCAACAATTTTTTTGCAAATTTTACTATTATTCTCTACCAATTCGAATCAGGTCAAAAAACCTTAATTTTCTTTGCCCCTTCTTTCCAACTGTATTCAATTTCACTCAAATCAAGCTAAGCTTAAATAATTTCGATTTATAGTAAAATATATATAAAATATGAATTTCTGAAATATTAGTAAAAATTTTTAATTATATATTTTTGAAGCTTACTTTAACAACAAGAATTTTATCGGTCATATGTTTTATATTATATTTTTTTATTTAAAAAATAAATAAATAATCAAACAATACTGTCTAAAATAGTTATAATACAATGATCATTATAATTTAATTTTTATAATATAATATATTTAAAATAAATAACCAAATTATTTTTATTTAGCAGAAAACCAAATTAAGTCATTTTAATTTATACGGTTAAAAAAAAATCCAAAAATAATTATTATACATTTATAAAATATAAAATATGTAATATAAAAATAAATACAAATAAAGCATTACTTATCCGGAGGAATAAAAAGCTAATGATATTTATTAAAAGATTTTTATAATAGAAAAAAAAAATATTAACATAAAATTTAACTAAACATTGTCTAAAGTCTAAACCAATCACTGATTCGTGATTTTGAATATTCATCCAAATTAAATTTTTATAAATGTATCTTTTTGGTTTTTCCATTTTTCGGCAATATGATACTTAATCAGCCAATTTTTTGAAAAATTTACATAATATTTTTTAAAATAAATTACCCTTATAGTCCCTTTAAAAATAAAATTTTTTCTTTAAAAAAAAATATTAAACCTCACCAATCGATATTTAGCAAAAAAAAAATGAATAAGTTCTAGAAAGAAAATATTGCCGGATCGGTTTTAAAAAAAATTATTTTTCGGCCGGTTTCCGAAAATTGTTTTAGCCGGGTTATTTAAATAACGGGTCAATTCCTTTCTCATTAAAATATTTTTTAAAAATTGTTTTAAATATATAACAGACAAAGGTAACCATGTGGTATATTCAAATAAAAAAAACCAAAAACTTGTAAAACTTGATTTTTGAGGTCAGTTTTTTATTTTGTTTTCACAAGATTTTATAAAGAGGACAAAATATTTTTGCATAATGATTTTTTAAAATATTTCATTATATATAATTAATTTGAATCTAAAATCTAAAAGTATCAGTATAATTTTAAATTGAGTGTTAATAAGATATGCATAGGGCCCGATTAAGGTTATAACAAAAATAAACATTATGTAAGCCTAAAGATTTTGTTCATATAGCTGGCAGAAATGCTTTGACATATATTTGGCAAAACTCGATGCTTACATAATATTATTTTAGCTAAAATCTTAATCGGGCCCTTTTAAAATAATTGACCGGAAATAGGGCTTTTTAACAACACTAGTGGAGACACCTTTAGTTTTATTATATCATAGCTCATATATTATTGTTTTTTACTTATATACTAACCCACCCAAAATATTAGAATCTTACCTATTCTTATTTACTCTAAACTTATTTATCCATCAAGAGGAAAATTTGCTTTCATTTTATCTATTTTTTTAGGATTGATTTGGGTAAATGGTTAAATGTTGGCTATTCTTAGCTCAATCATCAGGCGCTTGCCGGAAAAAAACCCGTTAACATTAAGACGTTTTAGTACATATTAACTTCATCCAAATTTGAAATGCTATCTTTTTAAGAAAAGCACAGAGGCCAAAGTGGCTAAATATATAATAATTACCCAACTATAGCTAAAACCCCCCTTAATTTTCTATTTCTGTAAAATAATTTCAAAAATTACTTTCATTGAAAAAGGTGCGCGAAAAAAATATACGAATAAACAGTATACAACAGTACTATAGAGTATAAACAAATTTAATTTTTCTTTCAAATTTTTTTTTACATAAAAATTATGCTATAAATTTTATAAAAGAAAAATTGAAAAACGAAATATTTCCCTTTTGCATGAGATTGGCTTTCGACCTTTCCTGTTTCCAAGTGCAATTATTTAATATTTTACTAAACAGGCCTTTAACCTTAGCACTTGAAAGTAAAATATCAAAATCGTTTTCAATTTCAACCATAACCAAATCTCCGAAATTGACACACATCCATTTGACTGCTTTTATACTCCGCTACTAAATGATGAAGTATCAAAGGTGCAGCCATGGACATTGAATTTCATATTTTATATATCACAAAAAGTGTATTTTTTTATATATACTTCGTTTGTTGAATTTATTATTATTATTATTATTGCTTTAGTTTTAAATCCATCTTTACTTAAATCAATTTTTTTAATTTATAATGTTTGCCTAACGGATTGAAGCATTATACTAAAAATGTATACTAGTTGAGCATTAAATATCAACCAATGACATACAATACCTAGACTGGCGATGCATTCATAACAATGCATTTGAAAGCGTCGTTGAATGCAAATCAGCTTGACCCGCCATTGTGGTAACCCATATAGCAATTATTCTCATGTTAAAAACTACTATTAAATTGATAACTAGCATCCTTATTATCTCGGTGATCAGGCAATTCTTTAATAAAGTTTGTGTCAGACATAGGAAAAAATTGGCCTCTCGTTTAAAATTTTTAATAATGATTATGGGTAATCAAAATGGCGTCCACAGCTGTTTCATTCAAATTTTTTAAACTTCTATATCTGAATATACCGAAAAGAAAAAATAATATCTGTAAAAAGGGTAAAATTATGAGATTCACAAATATTTTGAATTAGGGAAAAAAGAAACATTAATTATATTTAGAATTCATTGATTTTAATCACAATTTAGAATCCGATATTTAAGAGTGTTACAATTGGGAGATTTGGCATTGGGAACTTAAGAACCTAAATATAAAATAAAAAATATATACTAAAATATAATTATTAATCTTTATTAAATAAATAACTATAATCAAATTTTTAAGTAAAGGTTAAACAAATTTGTTTTAGTAATATAAATTTTAATTTTATTAACTAACTTCTTTTTTCTATCACAATCTATTTATACAAAAAATATCAAACAAAGTTAATTGAATATATTAAACAATCAATTTAAATAATATAAGATATTCAAATGATATAACGTTAATATATTTTACAAATAAATAAATATTCAAATTTAAAATATAAGACTAATCAACACTCCCCCTCTTCTACAAAGAACAAAGCTTCTTCTCAGCAGTCATCGAGAGCTTGTTGTCCTAGAAGTTTTTCCCGTTTCGATTGTACTCGGTTTCTTCTTGGTTAGCGCATAAGTCTCAAATGTTCTCGTAGCCTTGATTCTATCACGTAGGTTTGATAAAATCGTTTATTAGAGTTGCGTGAGTCCATACGTTTTCGTAGGCTTGAATCAATCGCATAGGTTTGATAAAATCATAAGCTTGATATCCTTATCGTAAGTTGTCCTTAGGAATCGTGAATCTGTCACATAGCTTGCTCGTTAAACTCAGTCATTATTATTATCAAATTTCTCAAAATTGTTATTACCATATTTCATAAATAATTAATGAATAATTAATCCAATCGAATATCAGAATATAAATATTTGGAATAAATCGGAATAAAATATGTAATTTGAAATAATTGATCAAATCGAATATATGAATAAGATTTTGAATTTCAGAATAATAAAATATGTAATAAGGGATGATAAATCATAATGATTATTATATTATTTTTTAGGTTTTTAAGTTAACATAGCGTTTTAGCGTTTTACCCTGAATTCATAGTGGCGCGATTGCGATTGCGATTTAGACGCGATAAATACAAAATACAGTAAATATGATATCGCATTCATAGTTACCGATCGCCCGCGATTTTTTCAAAACACAAATCATTTTGTGTTTATCGCGAAGATTTTGAAATATTGCTTCGTTAAATACACATTTTGGTGAATTTATCTTAAAATTTAAGATTTAGCGCTATTTTTAAATTATTTGAAATGAATTCAATGGTTACATTTTTTGATGATGTAAAATCAAAGAATCATCAAGTTAAAATTATGATTTAAATTAAAAAAATTTTTTTAGAAAATAGATAAAACAGCTTTTATAGTATCAGTTAAAGAATATGAATGTTTGTATAATAAACATAATAATTTATATAAAAATATTATATACAAGAATAATATTTGGGAATTATTAGCCCACCAGTATAATATGGCCAGTAATAATTTTGCATATATATTATATTTATAAACCTTTTTAGATTCATCTATCAAAGCTCTTTGGAAAAATCTAAGAGATTGTTTCATGAGAGAAAGACTAAAAATGACCAAACTTAAGAGTGGGTCACAGGCAGACCATCATATTTCATGGCCATACTACCAGGAAAGCTATTCCTGGTAGAAACTGTAACACCAAGGTTACAGTTATCCTCTTTAGATATGGGGGAAGGATCTATTCCAAAAGATGTAAATAATATCTTTAATGAAATTATTGGGGAGACAAATGAATGTAAAATATAACATTTGAATTGGTAATATATTTTTTATTTAGTTGATTGTATTGATAGTGATCTTATAATAGATACTATTATTCCTAAAGGACCTCCATCACAGCTTAGTAATGAGTGTGGTAATTATAAATTTTAAAAATATACATTATTTATATTTAAGAATCTATTTTTTCTGACTCTATTATTACATCTTGTAAATATCCTAAGAGAAGGAATAATGATATAGGTAATTTATATTTATTATTTACTTTATAGAAAATTTTAAAATAGATGAAATAAAAACTTTACTAAAATTAGAACATGAAAAAATGAAATTGGAATTAGAGATGACTAAAAATAGATATAATGAATATGCGATATGTCATGTAATGAGAGAGAAATTAGACAGATGCAGTATTCAAGAGAAGAAAGATCTTTCTGATCAAATGTATGATCTCATACGCAACTTTAATTAAATAAAATTATTTTGTATATATTTTTATTATGAAATAGATATTTTGTGTATATTTATATTATTTTAAATAGATATTTTGTATACATTCATATTATTTGAAATAAAATTATATACTATTGAACAGAGTTGGGCAGGTCCTCTGGAAAAAGAATCTAGATACAGATTCTTTGTGAAAAAATGAATTAGATACAGATACTAGTATCTTTTTCAAAATATCAAAAAGATACAAGATAAAAGATACTTGTATCTTTTGACTATTTAGAGTATCTTAAATATAAGATACTTTTAAATTATCATTACCAATTAAGTTAGAATAGTTTGTAAAATACAGTTTTTATTATTTATTTGTGAAGAACATAACATTACCATAATAAGAATGAATATTTGCAAGAATTAATAAAATATTTAATGATTTGATTATAATAATCAGGCATTTTAATATTAGTATTAGTCCATTCTTAGCATAGATAGGGAAGGGAGACTAGTATTGGAGTTGAAATATTAATTTGCAAAAGAGTATTTAAAATAAATTCATTATTTTATAAGATAATCAAATTTTTAAAATATTTATAATTAGACCTTTGCCATTTTGGCATACTTAACATTGTGCCAAAACTAAATAACCTTTCAATTGGAGCTGATGAAGGTATTGCAATATTATATTTATAAAAAATTTCTTTAATGGAAGGATAATAATTAAACATTTATTTTTATTATAATATATATAAAATACAAAACAAGATATTTATATAAAATACAAAATAAGATTTGATTAAATTTATAAATATCTATAATATGGGATTTTTATATAAATATAAACATAATAAATTTCTATAAAACTTTGAAATATATGTTGCTGATTTAATAGATTGTTGATTAAATAAGTGAATTAAAGTGGATGTAAAGTACATGTTTGTATTATATTTTCTGTTAGCTGTATTCATATGTTGGGTCACCAAAGTTTGCCATATAGCTTTGCAAGTGGTCCTAACAATTTTTTGGATTGTAGATATTCCCATTTTGAAGGAATAAGCTAAGGTAGGATATCTACAGCCTGTAGCTAAATATAAATAAAAAATATATTTAAATAATAAATTGCTTTATTTTTACCTTAAACAAACCATTAGCTTTTCTTCAACACTTATTGGATATTTTATAAAATTTGTGGATGTTGTAAGCAATATTGGTTTTACATGCTCAAGTATATAATAAAAGGTTTCCTAAATTAAAATGATTTATAGATAAAATAGAATAATATTACTTTGGTCATCCTCATATAATTGAAAAATTTAACCTTATTTTTTAAGAGTTTAGGAAAGAGAATGTAAAATTCGCCCTCTTTTCTTTTATTAATATTAAGATTGTTTAATCTCCTCCTCTTCAATATTATTTTGTATAAGAGAAATAATATAACGGCTCTCATTTTGTGAATTAATATAATCGCTTACTTAGCACTATGAATGTAAATCGCTGCGATCGATCCAGCTGATCAGTCGCTGCGAAATCGCGGCTTAAATCGCGATCGCAATCGCTCTCACTATGAATTCAGGGTTATATATTTTTAGTGTTTTATATTTTATTAGTAGCGTTTTAATATTTAATTAGTAGCGTTTTAATATTTAATTTATTTTTATTTATTTTCAATCTCCGAGGTTAAAATATGCAAATATAATGCACATTTCCCTCTTTTAAAAAAAATGTAAATTTCACACAATATTTTTCTAAAATAATGATGTTTAATTTTTTCATAACCTCTTGTCTTCAAAAGCTTTATTTCAAAAACATTTTTATCATATTAAGTATTACTTATAAGGGTTATGTAAATCTATCATGTGATTTAAACCTTTTAATTCATGTTTTATAATATATTTAAAATTAAAGTTTTATCTTCTTGTTTAGGATTTTTAATGGTTTATTTTTAATTATCTCTAAAATTTCATCTTTAGGTTTAGTTAATTTACAACAATTCAAATATGTCCATTATTTATTTACCTTTAAATTATTTTAATAAGTAAATTTACAACATGCCTTTATCCCGGCATAAAATTTTAATTTATGATAACTTTTCTTCTTACGTGGATTAGAATAATAAGTGATCATCATTGGTCTCACAATATATAATTCATAACCTAACGTCCAACTTCCATATTGGTTCTTTCTAGGTTGTCACATTAGGTTAGGTGCTGGTTATCATATTCCATTCCAACATCCAGAGCCAGGACACCATGAAGAAAGAAGCTTTTTGCATGAAAGTGCTAAGGTTTGATTCTAGTCATCTCCATAGATTAAGCAATCAACACAATAGGTAGTCATATAAATAGAGGCATCTCAATGGATTAAGCAATCGTCACAATAGGTAGTCATATAAATAGATTCATCTCAATGAATTAAGCAATCGTCACAATAGGTAGTCATATAAATAGAGTCATCTCAATGGATTAGCAATCGTCACAATAGGTAGTCACCACAATTTCGAATTTAATTTAATTTTAGGCAAATTTTATATATTTTCTTCTTTTTTTTTTCTTACAAAAACGTAACGGGGCATGAAAGAAACAAGAATAATTTAATTGTATTTTGTTTTAAGCGTATCAAAATATAAATTGGCGTAAAATTGTAAGTTTTAACATTTTGCGATCACGCAATTTACCTTTTGTTTATGTATAAGTATATGTCCTTCGAATTTTTTTTTTTTTTTTATATTTTTTTAAAAAAGAAAACGAAGAAACGTACCACCGTAACCGGGGCACCATTTTAAGTAAAGGGTTAAACAAATTTGTTTTAGTAATATAAATTTAAATTTTATTAACTAACTTCTTTTTCTATCACAATCTATTTATACAAAAAATATCAAACAAAGTTAATTGAATATATTAAACAATCAGTTTAAATAATATAAGATATTCAAATGATATAACGTTAATATATTTTACAAATAAATAAATATTCAAATTTAAAATATAAGAATAATCAACACAAATACAAAGTGAAAAACATAATCAAAATAAAAGAAAAATAAAATTATATATAAGAAAAATAAAAGTAAAAAATTAAAATCAAACAAAAAATAATGATTTTTCGCATCATAATTTCTCCATTATATATCCTTTTTCTTATCAACATTTACATAGTCTCAATTTGCATCGAGATTTATTTCTTTTTTCTTGAGTAGATTTGAATATCTTTCGGCTTCGTAATTTTGTTTAAAAGTAATTTGCCTAGCTTTCGTTTTTCTTAATCTAGTAAATTTGAATATTACCACAATTACAACAAAGAGTTAAGACTTAGCGGTCGTTTTAAGTTTTTATTTTACTTAATTTTTTTTTTCTCATAAGCTTTAACCTTTTTCTGGTGGTAATCTCTCTCCACTTTATTATTCATGCTATCTATCTCTTTTTATCTCTGATATCCCCCACCGGAATTTTCTTATCTATTCCAATTGGATCTTCCACCGGAGTATCGCTATCGAGACCATTGTATCTTGATCTTACACCGAAGTATCAATATAGACAGATATCCCACCGGATTTTTATCAATTCCATCTATCATCCTGAAAACTGATTGATAAATTAGTTAGTCCTAATCAGGCATTACATATATTAGCATAACATACCCAGATTTTTAGTGCTTCTATAATTTTGATTCTATTTAATAATTTTTTCTTATTTTGCCAATAATTCATTTTTCTTTAAATTATCTACCATAAAACATTAAAATGTACTAAATACGCCCATATTATATGATATAGATGTTAGTTAAAGTTAGCGCCTTTAGAAGATTGGATGACTTTACGCTTATGACAGGATATGATAGTTTTATTTGGTTTATAATACAGTTACTTTTTTATGGTTGAGAAATTGATTAAAAAATTAATAAACAAATCATTAAAATTAACGCATATTAGATACTTAGAACTTTTGTATTCTAAATTCTGACATGATACCAATTTTTGCAACTTTTTATTAGCAATATTTTTTTTATCTTAATTATTTGGCATGAATTTGTGTTTCCAAAAGCTTAAATTTTTTTTTTCGATTCATGAAAACCGATTGAGGAATTAATAAGTATTAGTCATGCTCTCATAGGCACTAATAAAGCGCGAAATATTGACATAGAAGATAGAATTAGTACTTTCAATTGCTCAACCAACTTTAAGGGAGATAAGATAAAAATTTATATACTTTAAATTTTTTTTTTTTTTTTAAATTCATTTTTAAAACTTATAAATTTAATTTACATAAAACCTAATTAAAAATATTATAATTTATAATTAAAAATAAAATTCTATAATTGAGTCCCCAAAAAGGAACCATAATTGTGTCTAAAAATTTCTATTTGAATTTTTTGTCGAATAAAAAGGAATTCTCTTGGTTCATTTGTGAAAAGTCGTATTTTATTAGCAAGATTTTTTAAAAACAAAAATGTTGAAGGCGAAAAATGCCCGTTAGTAGAAGGCACTACTGGAGTGAATAAAAAGTTTTTAAAATTTTTGTATTTGTTTATCTTTTTAATTTCAGCCTGTGTTATTAAATTGAAATTTATGTTTGAAGGGAATGATGAAACACACGTGTAGTCCCATATGAGTATAGCAAAATTAAAAAAAAAATAACCATTGAAAAATTAAAAATGTCTAATCAGAATATTTTTTCAAAGGTAAACGAGTATTTGGGCCCCAGGCTTTCAAATAAAATATTATAATTATATATCAAGATAATTATTCTTAAAAAAATTAATATTAAATCAATAATTCTCAAAATGTTTTAATAGACCTTTAAATTTATTAAGTGGCTTATCAGACAGAATATTCATAGGATACTTTTATATTTTATTTCTTAAGAAATTATGAAAGAAATTAAATAGACCCGATAGTTTTATTCGTATAAGTTCAAATATTCTTCGATATTAGTTTTTGTTTTAACAATTTTTAGAGATATTCTAATTCAAATTCCATCTAAAGTTCTAATCCTTATATCGGTTTATATCAAGTAAATTCATAAAATAACATTAATCCAGGGATTCAATCCAAGCCTGCTGAATATTTGAAGGTATTATGATTTATCCATAAAACCGAACTTTTAAAAAAGGATCTGTGAAATGCGTTGAATATTCTTGATATCCTAACTGTTCTAACTTAAAGATCATTTTTAATCCATTTTGAATGGACGATCAGTATAAGTTACCAATTATATAATATATAATTAAGAGACCTGAAGAAGTATCATTTTTAAAAAAAAATATTTTATTTATTTAAAATTTTTATAGCTAATAATGACGATTTAAAATATTTGGTTTTAAAAATATACGACTCGGCCCGGGTATATTTTAAAAAAAATTAAAATCCTGTCTCCTCTCCCCCTCCCCGGGGTACACTGGTCTCTGATAAAATTTAGAGTAATAAATAATATTTATTTGTTATAAATTAGATATATTTTAATATACAATTATAACAGAATAAGCGTTAGATGCCATATATGATCAATTTTTTTTAAAATTGCTTCTTTATACTAATTCTCATAAGTCCCTTTTCGAGAAGACTCAAAATCGGGTTTTATGGGTTCAAACCAAACCGATATTATTTCCCCGAATAAAACCTGAACCCTAAACTGACATAGATAGTAACTATAAGGATTTTTGAATTAATCTACTTTTAAAATAAATCTAAAATGCTTACAAAATATATATATTCAAACCTTCCTGTATAATTTAAAAAAAAAAGGAATTTAAATTTTATCTAATGATTATAAATCATAAGAGTCTAATATCTAAATACCCGATAAGCTTCCAGGTATGACTATAACGTGTAGTCTACCATAAATATTTATAGCATAGGAAAGATTTATTAAATAATTTAACGTGAATTCCTATTTCAAAGATAAGTGAATTGATAAGAAATCTACACAAGATCAAATATTTTACTTTGTTTCGATTTGTTTCATATATTTTCCTATCTCCTTAAAATATATATACTCGAATTGGCTAAGTTAAAAAAAAATACATATTGTTAAATGAGAGGGGGGGGGGGGTGGTCTTATTTTTTTAAAGCGTTTATAATAAAATAACAATATTTAAATAAAATATATTTAATAATGTCACGCAATGATTTTTAACCCATTCTTATAGTTATATAATGAAATAAATATGAGAAATAATTGATCGTAGTAGTGTATGTATATTATATATTTTTTTTTAATATAATGGCTATTATTTTAAATTACATCAATTAGTGAAATTCACAATTCAGTTATTTTACCTTTTGGATTTTTATTAATAGAATTGTCGATCCCAAACCAAATATAAAGCGCTTGTATAATTTCCATCTGGCTTGATGCTAATCTTTTCCCTTTATTTTTGCATATAAATTATCTCTCAAAATGGAGTATACTAAAATACGCTAATTACACATACATAGTTTTATAACTGGTGCCTCAAAAAGTTTGTCTGATTTCACTCGTAAAAAGGAAAGTTTATTTTATTTTTTTCATTTAATAAATTAGTATTTCAATTATATTTTATATTATATAACACGTTACTATATAGAAAAGCTTAGCATCAAGTCAAAAAATGATTACGAAATAAGTTATAATTTTCACAATTATCCGGAAAAAGAGTATATTAGTAAATTACAATTGTATAAAGTCATTAATTTTTGCTGTCTTTTATTGATTGAGAACCAACTTCCCTTTTAGCGTCAGCGTTATAATTGGTAGAAATAAAGTAGCCTATGTCTATCCTATGCTTAAGATGTTCAATTAGGGGGTTTCAGTGATTGGTTTACTTAAATTTGATTGAAAAATTTACTCTGTACGAATCACGCATTCACCAAATATTTAGTGCTTCCATACTTTTTTTTCTTATTTAAATCATAGCCTTTTTTTTATACTATAAAAGATCGGATCGGATTTGTAAAAAGAGAAAAAGTATGCAACCATTGGAAAAGATGTTGAGAATATAAAAACTTTTGGTGAGCAGTAAGAAACTTTATAAGTAAGGGTTTGAAAGATCCCGAAGCATGTAAAGTATAAAGGTTTGCTAAAATATTAATTAAATTCATATATAAAAATTACTGATCCTTTATTGTCACTCACATTAGAGATGACAACATGATCCAACAACATACAATTACAATAAAATAATATAAAAATCAGAAAGGCCCGACCTATTAGCGAAATCTTTCTGGCTTAAATATAGTTAGCCGTTTAACAACACTACATACATTTTCAATATTACAACAGTGTTGATGATACTTACAAAAAGATCCAATTTGATATTAACATCGTTTTTGTTTATTTTAAGATTATTATTTTATACTTAATTTAATTTACTAATAATAATTGAATAGGAACCAAGTGAACTAGATTATTTCATCTCCATATTTTTGTAATTTTAACAGGAGAGAAATTTTAAAAATTAATATTTTGACTATTTTCAATATGATTCTACCTATAGTAACCTATTTTTATAAAAATTTCCAATATTTTTACAATAAAAAAAAATCATTTTTTTGACAAAAAAGTGGATATGGAATAATACAATACTCAATGAACTATTTTGTAATTGTAAATGTTTAAAAAAAAATAAATCTATTTATTTTAAAAATAAAACTAACTAAATTTTTTTTAACAGGAAAGGACTACAAATCAGCCATAAAAACCAATGTCCATATTTTTAAAAAAGATACACTTAATCACTGAATATATAGCAAATAACGCCTTGGCCACGGATAATAGGAAAAAATTCTCAAAATGTTACTTTTGCCCACCGTTTTAACACTTTAAGGTTAATTATTTTCATTGCTCCTAAAGTGTTAATTTTTTTTTATGAACATTGGTTCAAAAAATATTAATCGATCTATCAGATCGGGTTTTGTATTAATATCGGAAAATATCGAATAGACAAATAAACCGCACTAACCAAAAGTTACTAGTTATTATTTCACTGGAATTTGTTTCAGCTAGAAAAAAAAATAATAGTTTCCTACTCTTCTTTTTTGTACATTGTGAATTAGCGAATATTTTTTTTGACAATTTCCTTAATTTTCGAACAAACTTTTTATTTGTGATTTTTTTTTCCACCCAATAAACTTCGGATAAATTTTTATTATATTGTTTAAAATTATTTATTCGGAGAATTTTGGCTTATCCACATCTCATTTAACTATACAAAAAAAAATATGAGTGGGTATGAACATATTTGATATCCTAACTTTTAAATGAGGATAAATCATTTATTTTTGATTAAGTATAGGTAGTTATATTCAAAAGCTATTTTGAGGCATCAACTAATATAGTGAATGGGAAAAGTTAGCAAATATTATATATATAGTAATTTATACTAAACAATCACTGCCTTTTAATTTAGGATTGAGAAATTTTTTTTTCTTCTTTCTTTAGCGTGGAGTATACTCATAAAAATACTATGTAATAATATGATTTGTTAAAACATTTACATATAATTTTAACAACTTTTCTCATAAAATTGTTTTCCTTATCACATATTATTTTATTATTTCAAACATTCTATTATTAGTCAAGATTAATTAATAATCTTTAAAAGATGATATAAAAAGATTCAAACTAGTTCACATACATAGTTGAGGTTTGGATAAGGTGAAGAAATGTTTAAAAGTTTAAGTTTTAAGTTCTTTAAATGATAATGGTTGATACCATTGTAATGGTTCCATTTGAATTTTTTCAAAATTTTATATGTCTCATTTACTCGGATAAATTTATTACAATCCACCAAAAACACTCAATGTATTTTAAAAATTATATATCAAAAATTGTTAGTCAATTAGAGGCTTGAGTGAAGATAGAAAAGATAATTTAAAGGAATCTGAAAATAGGGAGAAGGTGGATAACTTTTTAAAATTATAATATTTAACAATTTTCCTGATAAATTATAAAAAGAAAGGTAATATTATTTGCAAGAAATATAATTTAATTTGTGTTAAATTAATTGATAAACTATTCAGCTAATATAACCCTTATAGGGTTGAACAAAAATAGACAAAAGGTAACAGCTATACTGGGTATCACAACATCTTTGGCCTTAATCTGTAAAGAGAGTTTGAAAGCAAGTTAAATAATTAATTTCTTATATTTTAAACAGTTTTTGTTAATTTTGATTAATAATTTATTCATTAGGTCACATTCTAAAAAAGCATATTATATAAATTTCTAATTATATTACATTTGTCTTACAGTATTTCAATTGGAAAATACAATTTATTACATGATTGTAATATTTTAAAGGTTTATAAATTATAATGTAAAAACATCAAATAATTAAATTGTCACCCATAATTATATCTCTACAAATAATTGAATTTTCAATATTTTTGTTTTTTAAACCATAATTTTTCAGACACTTAACATCTTGTTGAAAATATGATAAATCATTCAAAAATTTGTTTAATAAATATGATTTCCCATTATCACATGAAGATTTAGAGTATTTATAATTTAAATTGTTAATTTTTTTTGGTCTATTTTTTTTTTGAGGTGTAAAAAATCTAGGAATTATTACACTTTCCTCACAAGAATCAATATTGTTTTGTTTGATTAAAGGAATTCCACTAATAGAACATTTTGTGTCATTATTTATGTAACAGGATTTTATATCAAATTCATTTGATGATGTATTGATAGTCTCATGATTTAAATTAAGGTATGTATTTGTCTTTTCTAATTTATTAATAACTAAATTACTAATATATTAATATTTTTTATAACTTTTACCATCATTTTTTGTTTCATGGTTACACATAGAACCATAGCAGGAATCTCTAGACATCCCCTCTATATTTCCATCAAAATGTTCTATAACAATTTTTTCAGAAGAGCCACTTTTATTAAATAAATTATCATATAAATATTTATTTCTTTCATCACAGAATTGAGATCCAATTGATGCTAAAAATAAATTTATAATAAATTTGATTATTTATGTATATATTTTTTTAATTTAAACAAACCTATATCCTCGATAGGATCTTCAAATAACTCCTCATACTAATAATATTTTAAACAATTAAAATGTGAATAATAAAAACTTTCTGGATGATTTTGCTAATTCTCTCGTTCAATCGTGTAAAAAAGGAGATTTTGGTGGGGTTTTCAAATTCCATATGATAATATTCATATCCAGTAGTAAAATAGAATAGAAAAGCTTATTTCTGGAAGTACTGGAGTTAGTGTCGTTAAAAAGCCCGATTTGGGTCTACTTTTCAAAACGACCCGATTAAGATTTTAGTAAAATAATATTATGTAAGCAATGAGATTTGTTAAATCCATTTCTGTTAGCTATAAGCAAAATATTTAGACATGCATAATGTTATTTTGGTTATATTCTTAAGCTGGCTATTTTTTAAAATCGACCTAATTCATACATTTAACAACACTCGATTTTAAAGTCGATGAGTCACCTTTGAGAAAAATGGTTTTTATAATAATATGTATATTCTGTTTCAATTGCTCAGAGAATATTTCAATTTATGTAGGAAGCTGATTTTTAATCGTTAAAATCTTATACAGTAGTAAAAATAAAAAATCCTATACCCCAGAAATTGGCCCCTATCAGTGTCAAATCTGAGGATTTATTTCCCAAACCCCCCAAAACTGCTGCGGGGGCCGTCCTCCTGATATCCTCCTACTTATGCTGTTGAACCTGGGGTTTGGTAATAATAGTCATTTTGGAGATTTAGACTTTTCTTCTAACTCATTAGAGTTAAATAATATTATCATATCTAAATGTATTCAATACCATTTACACCTGAATTTAGGTAAAGTTAGCTATAACCAATGATATTATATACTACCAGATTTCTGAATCATTCATATGCACAGTGTCTACATGAGCGGGGGGGGTAGTAACAGTTTGCATCCTAATATCTATAAAGGGGTAGGGGGTAGGTGGTAGGGGGTATGCATTGGGGTGGGGGGGGTAGGCTATAATAATCTAGAAAATTTTCCATTACATTTTTAATTTATCTATAGATAACATTTTGGTATTTTTAGGGGGGTAGATATATATTTTTGAGGAGGGTTTGCATCCAGTGAATATACTGTCCAGTATGCTGCATATGCATTTAAAAGTGTCCATACATAGGAGCAAGCTGTAATGCCATTTTGAAGCTGGAGGTGGATTAAATAAGATTAATATTTATTCATATTGATGTTTTAGTCGTCTCGCAGAATATAAAGAAATATTTAAATTCCAAAATATGAAACAAATTTTTTAAGTACAGATCATATAGATAATTTTTTAGTGTGGATCAAGCGTAGTAGATCATTATCAAAATATTCTTATTTTACTTATCAAAGTAGACAGTAATCCAATTTATCAAAACATTTTATAAAGATAATTAATGAAAAATGATTTGGGACTCAGAATTTTGGTCAAATTGGGGAGTTCCTATAGACCCCAAATTAGAAAGGTATGACTATGTTTGTATTGTTTTTCTAGAGAAAAAATTATTAAGCTTCTAGTGTATGATTGATTTGATTTGGTCCCTTATAATTAAAAAAACTTAAAGTTATGACATATGTCCAAGAGAAGAGATAAAGAGTGGCATAAAATATTATTTTTATTTGCCTCAACAAAACGAACTAAATTCGAATCAACATTTTTGAAAATGACTAGTTGCATGTGAGATTCCAAGTAAAAGACTTACCTAAAGAAATCATCTGGCCTCAGGTTATAAATTAATGATTAATTTGCAGACTTCCTGATATTTGGCATTTGGGCCATCGTTGATTACGGCTTATTATTAAGATAAGCATCAGCCTGACCAATCTACTTATACTAATATACAAATAAGAAAATGTTCCCCTTTGGGGATTAATAGCTTTTTAACATTTTATAAATAAATGTGGTTGAAGAATATATTATAGCTTCAAGTTCCCATTTTAAGTGATTTCACTTCTATTAACTATAATTATTTTATATTGACTTTTTAAATTATGAGCTATCAGTATATTTATATATATATTTTTTAGTAAGTAATAATTACATAATATATTAAAAGTTTATAAAATAAATGTAAATAATATTCAAATTAATATATAGAAAGAATCGATAATAATAATAAATCTAAAATTATCTTGGACATATATAGTATGTAAACGATACTTAATTATAGATGCAGGGCCGTAGCCAGGAATTTTCACTTAGGGGGGCCAAGTGCTTACTTGGGGGGGGGCACTATTTTTTTAAAATCAAACAAATAATTACGCATTCATAGAAATTTTTTCCTATTTTATTAAAAATTTAATAACAAAATAATACTATATGAATATACAAAAAAAAATAATACTATAATATGCATATACAAAACAAAATATTACTATAATAGAATACGGCGATTTTTATTTTTAAATTTTAATATAAATGAACTAAAAGATAAATTCTGCGTTATTCTTTTTTCATACGCCCTTAATACTAAATTTTGTTTACGTTTATCCTTCATAGACTCTCTACTGCTCGATAAAACTCTCTTTAATGTAGAGAACGAGGCCTCACAAGAAGCCGTTGATATCCCAATGATTATCGCTGCTGAGTAGCATTTATATAATTCTTTAAATGCATTATTATATTTTTTTTATACATAATATGTAAGATGTTTTCAAAATTATGATTTTCTTTAGCTTCCGAAGCTAGCAATCCTTTTGCTATCTTCATTTCATGATGCAGTGTTTCCATATTTAAGTTTAACAGGGATTTTAATGGGGCCATTTTATCTGATAAAAAATAATCAGGGTCAAGGGGGAACAATGTATTAAAAGATGAAAAAAGATTAAAATCATCTTCTGTAAATCGGTCTAAAAAACGATCCACAAAGTTATCTATAATTTCATAATATATCCTTTTTAAAGAACTCCAATTGGAGTCTTTTTCACAATCGAATTCTAGTTTGCTATCAACTAAAAAATCTTGGAAATTTTTAGGCGTTTTACGTACCCGTGATGATTTTTGGGGAGTGAGATTAAATTTTGATAAAAGTTTTTCAGCCTTAATCATAATCAAAGCAAAAGAATTATCACTTCTTTTATTTTTTAATATATTGATAGTAGAATCAATACAATTTTTAGCATCCACTAAATTAGTACCTACTGATTGTAGATACTTATTTAGTGGATCTATTGTATTAATATCTCATAAATTATGATGGCTAATATAATGTAATTTATATTAATACATTGAGATAAAAGACCAGAGGCTTCGACTGAATCATGAATTGAAACCTCGGAATTAAGAGTTCTATTAGAAAAGTAAAATAATACTTCACCAATAGCCTCAAAATTCTCATAAATAATGCGAGACGTTTCTAAATGACCAGTCCATCTCTGGTCTAAAAGTCTCTTAAGGGTGTGGCCTGTATATTTACAGGATACGTTAAAACGCCTTGAAAAAATTATACAATGCATTCGATAAATTAAAAAAATTAGAAATAATAACAATATTATTATACCAATTTTGAACCACAAGATGCAACTTGTGGTTGTAGCAATGTATAAAAGGAACATTTTTATTAATTTTTTTTTGAAGAAGTGTTTGCACTCCTTTATTTCGGCCAGACATAACGTTTGCACCATCATATGCCTGGCTTATTATATTAGCTGAATTAATATTTAGATCATTTAGTTGCTTTAAAATGCAATCTGTAATGCTTTCAGCTGAAAGACACTCTAAATTAATGATTCCTATTAAATTTTCTTGGATTTCTCCAGAAAAAATATAGCGAATTATTATGCTCAGATTTTCACAACCTGAAGCATCTTTTGTCTCATCGGCCTTAAGACAAAAAAAAGGCATCTCGCTTTTATTATATTTGTCTGAAATATGTTCAAGCACCATATCTGCCATAATGGATATTACTTCGTTTTGAATCTGTGGTGATGTATACTGGGCATTTTGGGGTATAAATTTCATAATTTTATTTAATTCAGGGTCTTTTTGGATGGTGTAGGAAAACATAGCTATAAATAGTCCAGAAGAATAAATTATGTTTTCATCTTTTGCAGCATCCGTAATATTTGTTGAACCAGTCCCACGGAAAGGTAGCTCTTGTATGCTAAGAAACAGCATCAAATTAAATATTGATTTAATATAATATTGATTACGATTAATTTGATCACCTCCCAACATTTTAGTTATTTCTGTACCATTGTTTATATTTTGATTTTTATCATGCCATATTGTAATTGAATTTAAATGAGCTTTTGAGCTCTCGTGTTTAAGCAGTCCCTTCTTGGCAGCTAACGCATTTTTCCAATTTCTGAATCCCGTTTGTCCAAATTCATCACTTGGATTACACAAGTATTTCCTACATGGGAAACAAAAGGCAGCGTCAGCTTCTACACTATACTCCAACCAGTCTCGGCCTCTATACCATGATTTTTGAAATGATCTTTGCCTTCCATGGATATCTTTTTTCGCGTAATTGTTTAATTTGATTTGATTTGGTTTATTCTGGCCAAGGTCACCAGGGATTTGAATTGAACCATTAGAGGACTTTTTTGACACTAAAAATATTATAATTAATAAATTGTAATGAGGGAAAGGGTCATAAATAATAATGGTCATCAGGATGGGGGAAGGAAGGGCATGCTGAAAATGAACAAACACAAAATTTATCTTGTATTTAAGATAAAAGTTACTGTAGTGCCCAACCCTGATGAAGATTATCAGTAAAGTTGATCAGTAAAATTTCAGTATTAAAAACTAGAAAAAAGTCATAAACATTATATCTTTAAAGATTAACAAAAAAATATAATATTTTTATATTTATAAATCAATTACTAGTTGCTTCTTGACAATGAGAGACTGAGCTGCTAGATGAAGATGATTGAGTCTCTTCTTCGTCTTTATTTGTTTTAAAATCAAAATGTAATAATGAAACACCATAATCTCCTACTCCTATTCATATTGTCAAAAATATATAAATAGAAAAATTTGGGTTAAATTTTAAACTATTTATCATCTTCCTCCTCTTGATTTTCTAGATTAGCTTCATTCATATCTTGAAATATGAGTAAATATATTTATTTTATTAATTAAAATTATTATACAAAAATGATAATATTAATAATAAATGTCTTTCTCTTATCTTATATAAAATATATATATTATATTAAATAATAATATACAAATATTGCCCTATATCAATATCATATAAGTCATGAAATAATAATATAAATTTATACTAACTATGAGAAGAATCAGTTTCTGAAATTTCTGATGTAGTATTACTAGTAGTTTGTAGAGGTGATGTTGCTTGACATTTGTTTAACTTTAACTTAAAATAAGAGTTTATAATTGATTGTTTCTTCATAATTTTAAAATAAACGCTCTAAAATAAAATAACTGGTTATATATTATAATATTAATGTGATACCTATAGAGAATGTGATACACAACAAAAACAGATGAAAAAAAATGAATGAATGATAATTTAATATTGGGTAAAAATAAAAATTAAACAGGATAAAAAAAAATTTTACAAACTAGATATGTTTGTAGAATAAATATTCAAATTTATTTTAAAAATATAAAAATAATCAATTCTAAATAGACATGTTTTTTGAATATTTTTGAATAAATATTTAAAATTTATATTAAAAATATAAAAATAATCAATTCTAAAAAAAATTTCAAATTGGGGGGGGGGGGCAGAAAAATTATTGGGGACCACTTTTGGGGGCCGAAGATTTTTTCTGGGGGCCAGGTTTAGGGGCCAAAAAATTTTTTGGGCCCCCCCCCCCCGTGGCTACGGCCCTGTATAGATATAACAGATATCACAATAAATTCCGTGGTTTATGATATTCATATTATGGTCCAAGTCAAGTAAATTATTTTTAATCATATGCCCTATGAGTCATAAGTAGTGTTGTTAAACGGCTCGATTTGAGCTATTTTTAAAAACAGCTAACTCACTATTTTAGCCAGAAAAATATTGTCTAAGCCTCGAGATTTCTTTAACAGATGTCCAAACCTTTGTGGAATCTATGAGCAAAATCTTTAGACAAGCGTAATATTTTTCCGATTAAAATATTGAATTAGCCATTTTTAAAAATCGGCTAAAATTGAGCCATTTAACAACACTAGTCATATCATAAATCATATATAATATTGAACTCCATTTTTAATATATCTTAACCCTAACTCTTATGTTTCTAACCTTTAATCCTACTAACTTGTTTAACTCTATATATATTTCACCCAATTAAAAAATTCCCTCGAGATGGATTATTAACGGTATATAGGATTGGGAAGATTTAAAAAAATATATATTCGAATATAAATACAAATACACTTCAAAAAAAAATTTGAATAAAATGTGAATACTAAATACCTATAAAAAAAACTCAATGAGTAGTTTTTAAATACAAATACTTTTTGCGAATCCATTTTTATAGTACCACTATATTAGTAATAGATTTCGAAAATTCTAATTTAAATTATTTAGTTTTATAATGACTTGGGACATAAATGGTTGGAAGTGATTATCAATAGTAACTTCAGCCATCTAAGAGTTGTTATAAACTTTTATAACAATGAATTTCGTTTTAATTCACTATTGTAAAAAATAATAATTAGCATTTTTAGTGTAAATCGGAGATTGAGGACAAAAGTTTTTATAGCAACTTTTATTTTACTCAGTGTAGAGACCATCTCCTCAAAATATGTTTTTAAATTAATAAAAAAAGTAATCTTATATTTAATATATTATTTTCAAAGATTATATTTCTTTTCTTTAAAAATTTGATTTTAAAAAATTTGACTCAATTATTTTATTTTCATGTGTTTTAACCAATTTTTTTTTTATTTACAAATTCATATGTACAATGTTTATACAGATTTATATAAAAAATGATTTAATTAAATATTATAAATATATATATTTTTTTTTTAAAAAATAGCATGTACGTTATAATGAATAAAAAAATATTTTGTTCGTAAATTTCATAATATCACAAATAATATTTAAAACTATTATCCAAAAAATATAATTGTATAAAATATATCTTTTAAGAAAAATTTGTTATGTATAATAATATGCGAATTTATAATACGTTGCATACGTTTTGATATGCCATCTCTACGAAATAAAAAATATATTAGGGTAATATTTTTTTTCATATATAAATAGCTTCCTTCCGCCCAAAAGTGTCATAATTTTGATTGCTATTACCTGCTCTCCCACCGATATGACCTGAATTTGCTAAATCTTTCCCACCATTGTCTCCGACTCCATTGTGATTTTTATCTATAGTAGGAGGGCTATTATTTATCGATGACCATAGTAAGTCATCAAGCGCCAGTAGGTCTTCTTCGCTAAAATTGTCACCTAGTCTGGAATTAGTGGAATTTGATTCCTCGTTTGGATAACCAGTTGTGGGCGGGGATAATGATGGTTGAGACCATTTTTCCAAAAGGCTCTCCGGTGAAGGAGTGGGATAGGAAACTAGCATGAGATCTCGTTGAGATAATCCCTGCTGATTAGGATTTGTAAAACCTCTATTCTTGTTATATTCATCCTTAGCATTATTCATACCTTGACTTTCCCACTGTCCGATATTATTGTTATTGTCATCATTGCTATTAAGGTTATTGGGATTTTCGTAGTTGATTATAGTATGATGTGAAGGGGGAGTGAGAGTTAAAGTTGATATAGAGTCAAATAAGGGGTTGTTATTTCGCTTTTGGCCATAGCACTGATCATAATTTGATGGATCAGAACCTTCTTTTCTGAATACAGAAGTCATCATGGAAGCCGGGTTAGACGAAGAATGTTCTTCTCTTGATGAACTTGAATCATTCGTAGCGTAATGGGATACGAAAGGCAAAAGACCCATATTGTGATTTATGTTATTAGTGTTGTAAAAATGTCCTTTATTAACGTAATTTGGATGTTGATTCAGACTTTGTTGAAGTTGATTGACGTGATAATAAGAGGGATAGTAATCCACGAATCCCTCTTTCTCACTATTATTAACGAGCCTCAAGGTATTGTCTGCTGCGCGATGTGAATTATCATATTGAGAATTAGGTGGATTAGATGATTGAATGGGAGGGTTTGGTGTGCTGCTTATCTTAAATTCTTGGTCATAATAAAGAGAATTTTGTTGTTGTTTTAGAGTGATATCACTCATGTAACTTCTCTCATAATTATTAACTATTGATCTAAATCCCCCTTCATCTTGGATCATTTTGTCGATATTTTGGTTCTCTACATGGTTATTAGCTGGATCACATATACTTCCAGATTTTTGCTGAATATTCTCGTTGTTATACTGTATTTTTACACCCGAATTCGGTTGATTGTAATGAGGACTTTTCTCGGGTGTTAAAAGGGATGAACAGCATTTAATAGCATTGGTGTTAGATGTTATGATTATTTCCATATTCTTGATATTGTTTAGATTATTGTGAGAATTGTGGGTATTAGTGTTTAAATGTGTGGGTGGAGGTGTTATTTCTCCAACATTATAATAATTAACAGGACTTGAACTATCATTTACTGTATTACAATAGTTGATGTGCTGTCGGGGTAAGGTGGTTTGAACATGGTTATAATTCTTATTTTTATTCTTAAGTGCACTAATAGCATTGCTACTATCAATATTTTTAAGTGGTTTATTATTTTCCGTTGGCATCATGATTAGCTCTGTTGTCTTTGGTAGAGTAGTAACAATATTACCGCTTTTATTATATTGATGATTGTTTTTTGATAAAGGATTCTTGATATGTTCTTTGATTTCTTTACCATTAAAACTATTCCTTTTTCCATTGGTGACACTATTCTTTCTACCAATTTTACTACCAGAACTATTGTTTATGTTAACAACAGTTGCCTTCTCCTCGCTAGCACTTTCAAGAATTGGATACAATTTGGTAGAACAGAGCACACTTTTGTTATTGGCCCCAGTTTTACCGCTCTGGCTTGTAGGAGACGCATTATCGTAAGGTGTCGTTATATTACGTTCTCTCTTGTGAGTAATGAGTTGACAAATGTCTGAATGGAGTCTTTCCTTAGCAACATCTAAAGGTAAAATGTCCACGTTGTTAGCTATATCCGTGTTAGCCTTATGATCTATCAAAAGTATCTTGGCGGATTCGTACGAACCTTCCCTTGCGGCGAGAAATATAGCTGTTTCATCCTACAAAATAAACGTTAATGTTTGTTTGTTATAATAAAATAAATAAAACTTAAAAATCATAATGAGAATGATTAAAATTGGAGCTTATAAATATCATCTGATCACATATTTCCAATATATTTTTTTAAATGAGATATTTTTTATAAGTCGCAATTAATAAATATATTATAAACCTTTAAATCTTGAGCATCAGGGTTAGCTCCTTTCTTCAGTAATAGCGACACCGTTTTGTAGTTATTAACAGCGGCCGCCCAATGTAATGCCGTTCTTCCTATAAATATATATAAAATGAATTTAAAAATTTATTTAAACTAAAAATCCATCCTCTCATATAATATTCATCTTAAAAAATAATCATAATTAAACTCTTCGTTGCACAGATGGGACTATGCAGACCCGTGCCATTTTAAAAACGTAATTAATTAAAATTCTTTCGATATTTTGCATGAACCTTTAAGTAGCTTATCATTTTAGGTAAAAGGCATGGGTGCAAAATTAATTTTGATTTTGTTTTTTTCTTTTCTTATTTTATGTGTTATAAGGGTTTTTTGTGCATCTGTTTTGGCATTGATATATTAAGCATAAATAAACACGTTTTTATATATCATCTTTATTAATTAAAAATTATATTATATTAATAGTTGAACCTTAGATAAACACTTAACACCATCAATTTTATTTTTATATATTTTTTTATATCATATTGTGACATTTTAAAATAATTTTTCACTTCTTTGACTCCCTTGACAAAAGCTGACATAATATGATAAAATAACAATAAATTATTAAAATATTAGTTAAAATCATTAAAGTAGAGTTTAATTTAACATACGTTTAAAATATGAAAGCTACAAATTAATTTGAATATAAGATATAGTGTTACTAAATTGGGGTCTGAGGGGACTCCAGCTAGTCTCTGGAGGAATTTTTTCGCATGTTCAACGAAGAGTTAATAAGTAACTTAGCAATGGTTAAATACTAATCACTTACCATTTAGTTAATTATCACAATTCTTTGTAAAATAGTATAAAAAGGATGATTTTATTCACAACTTATACTAAACCTAAATCATCCGTGGCATTTAAATCGGCATTGCAATCAATCAAGGTAGAAGGTATCCGACTATCGTTGGAACATACTCTCGCAGCCAATATTAAGGGAGTAGTCCCGTCTTTGCAAGGAGAATCTAGACTCAATCCTGATTTGTGATAACGCATTAACAAGTGAAATACACCCGTCGCATCTGAGGCTATAGCTGTATGGAGTGGAGTTCTACCTAAATGATCTACCGAATTAATGTCAGCTCCTAAAGATAAAAGAATATATAATTGTTTTCAGGTGATGGGTAGTAAATGGGATACTACTGAGAAATGATGTTAAAAAAAATCAAAAATTCTTATATATAAGGGAATTAAGTTAAATTAATTATATTTGTTTAAAAGAACCAAATAGTTTAAGATCAAAAAAATAGTCTAAGATTTATCAGATGTTGGAATTTGTTATGCTTAATTATAAAAATTCAGTGTCGGTAAATGGATTAGGGAAAATATTCAACTTTATCTTTATTATATTCTTTTTAAAATTTAAGGTTAAACTAGATAATAGTTAAGAATAACTAATTTAAAATATTAAATTACCAGCTTCAAGCAAAAAGCGTGCTGAATCAGCCCTAGCGAACCTCGCGGCTAAATGTAAGGGATTTTCAAGAGTATCTTCAGTCCGGGCTTCAAAATTAATCACACTTTTATCGTTAGTAGTAGAGCTTAAATCTTTCAATACTAAATATCGGCTTCCAGAATATTGTTCGTCCGCCTTATTGAGCTTGGAGGATTTTAAAGTTTTAGAAGCGTTTAAGTTTGTCGTTGGGGAAGGCGGAGTCAACAATCCGCTATTGATAATTTGATGAGGGTAAGAGCCAGGTGGATATAGCGGGTTTTCTTCATCCTTTATTTTACATTGATTTTGGTCTACGTTAAAATATGGTGCTCTGCGGGCCGTCAAAAAAACGGGTGTTTCGTGGGTTTGGTAAAAATTTTTGGTAGCCAACGTCGAAAAGTTTCCTCTTAAATTTGTAGTCACAACAGATGCGATATCTTTTTTGGTCCTGGGTTGAAAATTAAAATTATGAATGAACGTTTTTATATATATACAGAAGTTTGACGTTATTTTTAAAGGTAACCAACCCCTCTCACCGCACCTAATTTTAATATATGTTACATTTTGAGAAATGAGCAAGTGAGTAAAAATTCCATTTTTATTAAAATGCCTACAGGTTTGGGCTAATTAGAGGACATTTAAATATAAATAAAATATATTAATTTTTTTTAAACAGTGGGCTGAATTTTAACTGTTAACCACAACTGACCAGAATATCTTCATATTTTAATTTTTATATACTATTACTACATATAATAACCCTTTGCTAATGATTTACAAAGAGAACATGTATGAATTTTTACTTCATTTCTTGGCCCTCCGGCCCTTTCCTGCCATCAAATTGGCTGTCCGGGGACCAATGGCCGTTGCTTGAATCGAATGAATTTCCGTCTATATCCCCATTGTATTCTCCGCCATTATTGTCCTCTTCCCCTTCACTCATAACTATTTTGTGAGTTGATTCAAATCTTTCCAACCTATCGATTCCCCTTTTCTGAGATTGCTTATAATCGTAGTTATAGTTGTAACCCTCTTTTTCGTGATTAGGATAATTTTGGGAGAAGGAATAGTCGTACGGGTTATCCAGGCGTTGTTTTTTATGCTTTTTCCGGTTTTGAGAATTTTGGGAGTGCATAGGGGGAGTGGTAAGGCTAAAACCCTCGGGAAACCAGGTTATACCTCTACCAATTCTTTTGCGTTTTTGAGCCGAATTGTAGATCACACCCACTATGAGGGATACCTTTAGATTTTCGCATAATTAATATAAATATTTATTCACAAAAATTTGAGAAAGTAAACAGAAATGTATATTTCTAAACCATGTTCACCATCAAATTGATGGTTCGAGTTCGGTGTTAACATAATTTAATTAAGTCGAATATATAATATTACCAATAGAAGAGCCGTCCCGATAGAAAAAATATAGGTTAAATGATTAACGGAGGCGGAGCGGGACTTATATCCAGTACCAGAATCGTTGGATGTCTCTTCGTCATTATCATCACCTTCCCCTTTTTATTTTTTAAAGAGAATATTTGATAAATTTGTAAAATTTAAGATTTTTATTTAAAAAAATGATTATTGTTTGGTAGATGTTGTACAATATAAGTTTTCTAATAATTATTAGCTTATACTAGGGCCTTGAAAAATTTAATCTAATTTTGGGTCCAGGCCTGGCCAAAATTTTACTTAAGCCCAGACAGGACTTAATTTTATTTTTAAGATCCATGCCTGTCGGCTTAAATTTTTTAATTAAAAATGATAAATTAAACGCATCTTTATAGAGTTAGATAGAATAGGGAATTATTGATTGCTTTATCCTAAATAATTCTGGAAAAATATTAATCATCATTTTATTTTAATGGAACTATGGCAGTGTTGTAGAACTCTAGTTTTTATGCAAAACTTCTAATGTCAACAAATAATTTTTTTATAACAGTAAATAGATAAATTCTATAGAAAGGAAGAAAAAAATGGTAGAAAAATTCAATAAGTAGCTAAAAATTTATTTTAATATATAACATCCTAATTTTGATCAATTGCACAAGATAAATAATTATTGTTAACGCTACCCCAAAACCTAAAATTTAATCAATAATATTTAGAAAAATAATATATAATAAGTCTTCAAACCTCTGACTGAAACAAGGGCCGCTAATTGAGGAGGCAATATCTTCCTAGCAGCTTTAGCAGCTATAAAACGGGCAGCATCGTTAACGTTAGCTAGGCATTCGCCTTTATCTCTATCATCATCATCATTATAATTAATTTCTTTAACGCTACAGCGAGAATTATCAACTTCCAAAAATATTTTGGAACCGACGATTATTTTTTCCTCCGGACGGTCAGCGCTCCACTTCTGCCTATCATTATTGGGATTTAGTAAAGTAGGAAATATCATGGGGTTACCCCACCTATCTTGCTTAAATCTCACATTGGCTCTGAGTAAGTCCGATAGGGTCTTCAATAGAGGGTTGGGAATAGATGCCTCAACGTCACCATTTTTCAAAGTTATTCCACGGTCAAATAAGTTTGTCATGTTATCGGTTATCTGCGTGTTCAATACTATGATCAAAGTTCCTTTGCTAGCATAACCATGGGAATCGCTTTTTTCATTGCCAATATCACCTGGATTCGGAGGAATGGGATCATAAGATCGTCGCTCATGATCACTACTCGATGTATAATTTTCTAGACAATCGAACCCATCAAACAAACAACCCCTGTTGTCACATTCGGGGTCGCACACTCCGTTTCCGTAAACTTTGTAACAGGAATCAGAATTTCTAAATTTCACATTATTATCCTTTATTTTAGAAGAATCTTTATGGCAATGGGCCCAGGGGTCTAATCCTAAAGAACAATCCCTTCCATCCCAGTCGCATTCCGGTAAATTACAAATTTGTTGGCATTGGCCGTTTCCTAACATATTCTCAGGGTTGGTGCAACCCAGTGCTTGGCAAGCTATCAGTCTATCTTGAATGTTAATATTAATGTTTTGCTGGTCATTCGAGATATCTTTCATTGTATCAGAGTTGGGATTGGTGGAAGGTGACTTTGATGTGCCTCTAACATTTGCAAAGAAATTACATCTATTTGCGTTATTCTTGTCATTATCTTTGGCATATATATCTTTTTTCTCCAAATCTAAATCCTTGATAATTTCAACACTGTAGTCTAGGTCGCAAAAACAACGCCTAAGAGGCCCAGCGTCTAAACAATATTCCCCGGGTCGGCAAGGGTGTGTTTGGCAAGATTTAACCGTGTTTTGGCATATATCCCCGTAAAAGTTTGGCTTGCATTTGCATCTGATATAAACATTTAATCGTTAAACAAAAAATAAATTTTTTAATTTGATTATATGCCTAAATACAAAATTTATTATGGAAAGAATATGATTTTTTGCTTGAAATATCTTGCTAGTATAAAATCAAAATTATCAAAACGATTTTTTTAAATTTTTAAAAAATACTTGAATCCCTTGCTATCAAATGCGTTGGTATGACAAGTGGCACCATTCAGACAAGGATTTTTATTCGTTCTACAGGTATCGTATTTGAGTTGGCATTGCTTGCCTTTAAACCCGGGTCGGCAAACGCATTTGTAATCGTTATCTAATTGAATACAATCTCGTGTTCCTATATGGTCGCAGGGGTTACCCATGCATTCGTTAATATCCCCTTCGCATCTATCGAATTGTATTTTTTTTTTTGAATTTCATTTTTATTTATTTTTTATGTTAGTAAAACTAATATTATATTGGACTAACAACCATAAAAAAAATTATCCCAGGACTTTAAAAAAAAATCCAAAACTTTTTAAAGAACACACCTTAAAACTTCCTATACATTAGGGAATTTTTTTTTTATAAAGTACTATTATGTTTTTGGGGGGATTGCTAATCATAATTTTCACCTTCTAATAATAAATGGGTTTTGTAAACACAAAAAATAATCATTTTTTTTCTTCATCCCCAGTTTAATATAGTGTAATGAAAGATTCATTTATTTCTATTCAACCCCACCCAACTTAATCATGGTTATAATAAATATTTAATTCCTATATAGTGATATCGGAAGAAAGATGAAAAATGAGAATTTAAAAATAAATAAATAAATATAATAATACGTTTTTCCGACAAATCCCGGCGGACATATGCATTGGAAGGAGCCGATCTTATCCACACAAGTTCCCCCGTGATGGCATTTCACGTTTTGGCATTCGTTTATATTTGTTTCGCACAAAAACCCTAAAGTCCCAGGTGGGCAGGAGCACCTAAAATCGTTGATCAAATCGTGGCATATACCGCCGTGCTTGCATGGGTTATGCTTGCAATCGTCTATATTTGTTTGGCAGTGTTCACCTTAATAATTATTTTTTTGTTAAATGTAAATATAGAATTAATTCATTGTCGGAAAAATATATCATGTTTTTTTAATAAATATTCCATTTTATTTGTGTTTTAAGGGCTTAAAAGTTTATTCAAAGTTCTATTTGTTTTAGACCGATTATGCATTTTTTTTTAAATAAAACAAACATTAAATAGGTGTAGATCTGGTGCCATATAAAATGATTATAAACATAAAGTAATATATGGTTAACAAACTAATTTTATTATATTATTAATGAGTGAATTAATAAAAAGGCGAATTAAAACTATTTTGAAAAATAATGATTCCAAGAGGAAAATCTAAACTCCAGATGATACATGTTTTTCACCACATACATCATGGCTTTCATTCGTAGTCAAACAGAATTCATAATTTACATTTAGATATTTTGATTGAATCAAGACATGAACAGATATAGAATATCAAATAAAATAAATAAAATTCACATCATTATCCAATCAATATTTAATCCTGGCAAAATTTAATATTTTTTGTAATGTATAAATTCCTATTTCAAACTCTGCTGCAATTTAGAGACGATACCCTAAGCTGCAAATTTTGCCGCGAGAAATATTTAGAAAAATTCTGAACTTATATTGGGTCAAGTTATTTCAAAAAATATAATGATAACCACCAGATTTTTAAAGTAAGCTATCCAATTCGACACAAGTGTCTAAAACATAGATTCCTTAGCTATTATACCATTTCACATGATCAGGGATGAAAAAATATTGTACGCAAAAAGACAATTAAATTTCTCTCTATTAAAATACCTTCGAACCCTGGTGGACATTCACATACATATCGTTTGCCGTTATTTGTATTACTATTATCAGTTCTTTTACTAAAGCGATGTAGATTATGTGAATTGATGCAAGTAGCGCCATTGAGACAAGGGGAAAGTATAGCGCATTCGTCTATAGGAATTTCACAATGACTGCCTTTGAATCCTTCCCTGCACAGGCATTTATAATAGGAAGAATAATCGGGGTCCGGGGTTGTCACTTTAATGTCCAAGCACGTGCCGCCATTACCGCATACCGGAAGATGGTCGGATTTAAGCGACATCATTGTTGCGCAGGTTACCATTTTGATTTCGCAAGTTTCCCCTGTGTAATATCGGAAATATAGGGTATAGTAATCTATAAAGACATCCAAAAAGTTTAATAATGAAATGATCTCATCTGTAAATATAATATATAAATTGCGTAAAGTTAAATGAAACAAAGTTTTTTTAAAATAATAAAGTCTTACAAAATTTGGCTCCTAAGAATACAGTTAATTAATAATTGATCAATATATTAACCTGTCCACCCGGGTTGACATTCACAGCGAAACGCTCTTTGATTATCGTGTACAACCACTTCCTTAGACGAAGAAGAACCCGAATTATAAGTCGCAGAGCCTGCTAAAGAATAGCACACACCCCCGTTGGCACATATAGATGACTTTGAATCTATTTCAGTTTTCCCGTTAATATACCTGAACCCATACACAATAGCCATACTTTCCCTGTTACAAGGATCTATTCTCGTTTCGCATCTATCCCCAACAAAGCCCGGCGGGCATCGACACTTTAATAACACTCGCGAATATTTTTCGATCCCCGAGTTTAAACTATTCTGATAATAACCATCTATATCTTTATTCCTCCCCGATTCACTGGAATCGTCGTAGGCATTGTAACAAGTACCCCTGTTTAAACAAGCAAAATTTTCGCACGTCATCATCGAATCCGAAATCAAGTACTTTTCGCAATGCTTGCCACCATAATTAGCTTTACACTCGCAGGTGTAATCCCCTATACCGTCTATACATTTTCCATTGTTAAGGCAAGCCGTGGGAGTGCAATCCGGTTCGTTGATCTGGCAACGAGGGCCACTCCAACCCTTGGGGCAATCGCAAACGTAAGAGGCAACGTAATCCTTGCAAATTCCGCCGTTTAAACAAGGGCCGATCACGGTTTGATTTGTCGCGTGAGAGATGGTATGAGAGGTCGCGTCTGTCATTATATTGTTTATGTGTTCATATATTTATTAGGGTTTGGAAAAATTATCACAATTATTTTTATAGCAAGAATTATTTATATTTCAAAGAACTAAACACTGATATTTATAATAAATAATTACTTCTATTGTCTCGAGAATAAATATATATTGGATAAACGAGAGCGCATTCATCGATTTCTTGCTTACATCTAGGCCCTGTGAAACCAGGAGGGCATACGCATTCATAATCTATATCATTACTTTCGAATGCGTTTTCCTTTTTGATATTAATGCAAGTTCCTCCATTATGGCATGGGCCAGCTAAGGTTTTAATAGCGGCGGCAGACCAAGGGGCTCTACCTGAAGGTAAACGGTTGTAACCTGTAGATGTGTTGTAAAACATTTATCATGTAATACTGATATGTGGTTGTAAAATAAGATAACACCATTTAAAAATGGAGTATAATTATATATATATAAAAGTAAGTAAAGATATTTAGGTAATATCATTAAAATCCTTTTTTATTATGAACATTATTTAGTATTTTTAATCAGTTATTTCGGGTATTCATCAAAATGCATGATTACACATCATTATTAGATATCGATTTTACCTTGACTTGACGCTTCGTCCTCTTCATAATACAGATTATTTAAATCAATATATCTAGAATCTATTCCGTTTTCTGCTAATGTAGCTTTTAGACATGCTTCAATAACTCGAGGCTTTTCGTTGATCGTGATTTCGCAAGCTTTCCCAGTAAATCCATTAGAGCAAATACATCGGTGTGCCATTTCATTACCCGTTAAAAGTGGCACCATTTGACATTTTCCCTCGTTGAGGCAGCCTTTATTATTATTCCGACAATCTTTGCTATCGTAGTCATATGAATAAAACGGCGGGAGGCGAGAATAGTTTATATAATGTTCGCAATGTGTGCCCATAAAGCTAGAAGGACACTTGCATTGGTAGGGAAGTCGGTTCTGACCGTTGTAATCAAGCCCATCTGAGGTGCGTTGGTTCTATATTTATAAATAAAAAAGTTTATTGTTGTATGTGTATCCTATATACTAGCAATAAGATTAGTCATGAGAATAGGTGTTAATCTTTTTTAAATTTCAGAATGTAAAAATATATCACATAATAAATACATTAACTGGTATATCTAAAATTATGATATGACATGAAGTAAGATCTAATGACCTTAGATAAGTTGATGCAGCGACCACCATTGTTACATGGATTCTGGGAGAGGCACGGATTTATCGGTTTCTCACAATTATTACCCGAAAAACCAGGAAGGCACTCGCATTTATACCCAATTATTTGGCCATTATTCGAGTCTGATAAACATATCCCACCGTTCGAACATGGCGATTCTGCTTGCTGACATTCATTCTTCACCCTTTTTTCGCACGTTTTACCTTCATAACCTTTACATATTTTATTTTTTTTTCAAGTTTTAATGAAATACAAAATTTGGATTATATATGTAAAAAATCGAATCGATCTATAATAATAAAATTATATTGCTTTTCTTGGCTTATTTCGATAGCTATAAATTTTTCATATATCATTTATTTATTATCGAAATAAGGTTTAAAATGTATGATATTTCAATAATTAATGAATTAATAAGGAAATTATACATATAAATTTAGATATAATTGTAAAAAAAATTTAAATATTTGATTTTAAAGCATTATTGGAAGTTAAAATTTTAAATAAATGATTAAATCTTAAAATTAATTTTTTTTTAAAAAATATAAAATTTCTTTACTTTGATGGGGATTAATAAGTTTTGAAAAAAGATATTCAAAATTTAAAAAAAATCACTCACAGCATGCCACAATATAAATCTAAGATGAGTTTTTGTAGTATATAAAATGAGGGGTTAATAATTATAGCTTATTAATTCAATTAATAAAATTTTTAAGTAAATCTTATTACCCAGGGGACACGTGCAAAAAAAGCCATCGATAAGGTCTGTGCATAGTCCTCCATTGTGGCACGGATTTTCGCCGCATTCATTGATATTAACCTCGCAACGGTCCCCGGTGTACCCGGGCATACATACGCATGTAAATTTATCTTAAAAAATAAACATAAAAAGATGAATCAAAATAGCGAACAGCCTTATAAATAATAAAGATGATTTTCTAGTTTCATAAAAAAATGGCAGGCTTTAGGATTGATTCGAACTTATTTGCTAAACAGCTGGCTATTTAACTTCGACTAAACAGCCCTAAAAAGTAAAATAATTTTTTTTTTAAAAAAAATACGAAAAATAACAATGCCACAAGGAAAAACAAACCAAAATAGGGCGCCTTCGTTAAGTAGAACGAGGACATATAGATCTTTTCCTCCATTTTATATTTCACCAATATTATTCATCTCGAAAAAAGAATTCTCTTTCTTTTTTCTGTTCTGTTCTTTTCTTTCTTTCTTTCTGTCTTTCTTTTCTTTCTCTCTCTATTCTTTCTAATTTGCAGCATTTTGAATCTTCAATATATTATATGATAGTAGTTTTCCCATTTATCTTCACATCAAAATATGAAAAAAAACAAAAAAGAATCAAAAATACACACCTGTCTCGTCCAAACATGTCCCGTCGTTTAGGCATGGGTAAGAGGAGCATTCGTCGATATTAATTTCGCACCTAGGTCCGCTAAATCCAGATTTGCACGCGCACTCAAAAGAACCGAGAGTATTTACGCAGGTACCTTCGTGTTCGCAAGGCGACCCTTTTGTAAAATGTATTTTTTTTGTGTAGAAGTGAGTGTTTTTTTTTGAAAAAATTATATCTCTATATATTAAATTAGGATTGTTAAATGGCTCATTTTGAGCCGATTTTTCTAACAAGGAAAATATTACGCAAGCGTATAGATTTTGATCACGCACAAAGGTTTGAACATCTAGAGAAATATCGAAGCTTGGGCTATATTTTTCTGGATAAAATATTGAGTTAGCAATATTTAAAAAAAAAAAATCGGCTCAAATAGAATGGTTTAAGAAACACTATATTAAAAATATCATTATTTATGTAACCTTTCATGTTGCAAAGTTTTAATTACAAACTTGTAAAAAGGTGCTATAAATTATAGTATGCGACTGCGAGAATATATATTATTTAATACAAACCCATCTGACATTCATCGACATCCATATCACAGAGGGTGCCCTCCATACCGGAAGGGCAAGAGCAGACGAAATCCCCATTTATGAAATTCGTTTCGCAAATAGAGCCGGCTGCGCAAGGATTTTGTGCAGCACATGCATCATCCAGGTGGCAAAGCAAGCCCGTCTTTCCCGGTGGGCATGCGCAATAATATGAGCCTATCCTGTCATGGCATGTGCCACCGTTCATGCAGACGGATGTTTGTTGGACACCATCTTATTATTTATTTTAAATAATAATAAAAAATGATTGGTTTATTTTAAAAAAATTATATTTTCTTTGGTTATTTTAGATCTATAAATTTCTCAACTCTAGTTTTTATGATTGATAGAAATTTTTTTAATGATACAAATAAAATTTATACCTAAAGAAGAGGCCATGATAGCACAATCGTCAATATTTTCTCCACAATCCGGCCCTGTCCACCCGTTAACGCAAGCGCAATAATAAGAGCCACGCGTATTTATACATGTTCCGCCATTTTTACATAAGTGCCAGGGACCCATAGTTAAGCATTCATCTACGTCCAGCTCGCAATATGTGCCTATTGAAATTATTATTATTGCACATAAACAATATAATAAGTTAACGAATATTATATTCATATTGGCATGACAAATGAAAGCAAGGGAAGATTGAGAAATGAGAAAAAAAATGAATACTAGTACTAGATTATACCTTTAAATTGTGGAGAACATTGGCAGGTATAACTATTTATTCGATCCAAACAGGTTGAACCATTTTGACATTTATGGCCCAGCGCGCATTCGTCAACGTTATTTTCACAGTCTTCGCCATCAAACCCTGTATCGTTAAAGTTATATTAATTGTAATAAATATATTATAACAAAATAAATTAATAAATGTATAAGCTAACACTTTCTTTCTTCCCTAAAGCGATGAAAAAATCATGATTCAGTTTTTGGGTCCGGAGCGGAATAATAACTGGACCATTCTGATTTTAACCGATAGGACCGATTATAACCTTGACTGATCTTAATGCTCTCATCATTTCTTTCGAAAAATAATTTTTCACAGTTTTTAATTACCAGGTTGGCATTGACATTTGTAAGTAAAATCGCCGGTGATGTGGCACATGCCTCTATTCTGGCATGGAGATGGGTTACAGGGATAGAATCTTTTCTCGCATCTTTCTCCAATGAACGCTATAGGGCACAAACACCTGATAAACAATTTAAAAAGATATTATTTATTAAAATATTAATCTATAATTGAGTTTATTAATAATTATTTTTTCATTTGAGCCGATTTTTAAAAAACGGCTAACTCAATATTATAGCCAGAAAAGTAGTTCCTGAGTCTTGAGATTTAGCTAAGTTCAAACTCTTGGTGCCATCATGAGAAAAATATTCAGGCTCGCGTTATACCTTTCTGGATAATGTATTGAGTCAAGTAGCATTAACCTCAATCAATTTTTTCGCTCTTTTATTGAAAAATTATATTAAAATCATTTTACTTGTAGCTTCCAACGGTATTTAGACATGTTCCTTGGTTCATGCAGGGTGGTGCAGAATGGTTAGAGGTTACGTCGCATTCATCTATATCTTTCTCGCAATTTTTACCCGTCAAACCAGCCAGGCATTCACAATAGTAAGAATCGTTGTGAGAAATACATCGAGCTCCATTTAAACATGGGTTACCGTGACAATGGTTCAGGTATTGGCAATGTTTACCTTGACCATTTAAATTTATCATTTTAATTAGTTTTTAGGACTTTATAAATATTTATTTTTCTCTTATACACATATTCATAATCATATACCATAAAAGGAGGGAATTCAAGAATAATGATCAGTGTATAACTCTTATATCGGTATCTAAAAAAATAATAAGATGAGGGGTAATAATAAAAATTTATATTTCGAAACGTAAAACTTAAAAAAGATATATTGGGAATTAACTACTAGTAAACTAACTAGCCACTCAATAGGAAAATAGTTATAGAGAGAAATGTTAAAGCGGTGATAAATGTATCAGAGACTTGCAGTCCCCGAGCTGAAAGAGGCCAGAAAATACTATTATTTTAAAAACCTCACTAATTCGGGGCGGGACAAACTTATAATAAAAGTTAGTTTGAAAATTGGTAATGAATGAATGCATCATTTAAAAAAAAATACATTCGCAGTATTTGAAAAAGATGAATATTATCCTGAAAACTAAATATGATGACCGAAGCTCATATTCGAGTCGATGATTCGGATTATAAACCTATGAGTCAATCCTGCCATTTAAAAAAAAATCGGGATACAATTTGCATATGTTCCGAGAATTTCCGACAGAGTGGCCTGCAACAACAATCAAAATAAATTAGAAGCAAAAATCAAACCTTTATAACCCTCTGGGCATACGCATTTATATTCCGTCTCGGATACCAGTAGTTTGCAAATCCCCGAATTCTGACACAATCCGCCTATTAAAAAGTGTTGAGTTGCGTTGACAAGGTGCCACCCGTTTTGGGTACCATTTTTATTCATACCAATCTCGTCATTTTGAGTGCCATTTAACCCCGGATACGGTAAAAATTTAGACTTTTCGCAAATATTTCCAGGGGTAGGTAATTCGCAAAGGGACCCTTGATAACCCACCGTACATTGACAATAAAAAGTGGGTGGCTTATCGACGGATGGCGAAACAACGTTACAAGAGCCCCCATTGTGACATTTATTGCTTTTCGAATTTGTTTTATTTTATATATTAAAAATTAGAGATCAACTAATTATAACATTAATTTCAGAGATCAGCAAGCTGCTCTCCGAATGGAAAAGTACGGATTAAAAAAAAATTCGGAATTCAAAATCATTTCTAAAAACTAACTCACATAATAATTGATAAATATTGGAGCCCTGTGATGAGTTCAAGCCCCCCTACCCCTAACATCTGTCGTTTATAATGCTTTTATAAATGTTATTTTCTAGAAAAAAAACCAATTTTTTTAAAAATTTTCCTCGAGAAGTTAAATAATTTGTCCGCCATCTTTGAAATTATGGGCGGGGGAGAGGGAGGAGTAGAGTTTTTATTGGATAGGGGTATTTTTTTAAAAAAGAATATAGTATAGTCGTAGCGAATAGGCCGGACAAAGATTTTTCTATCGGAACGGGGCAGACCTTAGAAAAAAAAACCTTTTTGCCCCCCCCCACACCCAATTTTGTCTTCGCAAAATATTTACCAAATTATTTTCGACGCATTTGAATAGTAGATGGGAGTGTAAATTTTTCCCTATTTTACAGGGAGGTTAGAAATTACTGATTAAGTGCAGTGCATCATACCAGAGAGTTTTAACGATTGAGCGTGTAAGGGTAGTGTTGTTAAACGGCTAATTAAATATTTTATCCAGATAAAATATTACGCAAAGCCTGAAAATTTTTCTCGTAGATGGCACAAAGGTTTGGACATCCATTAGCGAGACCTCGGGGGGCTTAGGCAATATTTTTCTAGCTAAAATATTGAGTTAACCGTTTGACAACACTAATGCAGGAGAGTTTTAAATAGTATATTAAATTCTTTCTTTCTTTCTTTCTAGAAAGAAATACGCATTTCAACCCTGAAATGTGAAAATTGTTTGGAAATAATACAACCCTAACAAATGATGTATGTAGTTAAAGACTTTTGTATTGTGTATTTGGATCCTATACTGTTATGTTAAACCTCTAAACGGTTTATAACAAAAAAAGTATTATAAAACATTTTATTTTATTTTTTTAAAAAAGTACAAATTTAAATGGAAATCCATTTATTTTGTGATATTTTTTTTTATAAACCAGAAGGTTTTTCAATTCATTTCTTTTAATAACCATAAAGAGAGTAGTTCAAATATTTTAGCCGCGGTATATTCTTTTTGTAAAACTTTATTAGTATGTTACAAAAAAATTATGGAATTAATTTGTGGTTTACTAGATATTCAACATTCTTATTATATATATATATATCTTTTTCTTTCTGTCTTTCTTTCTATATAAATATATATATATATATATACTTGATAAGTTCGCTGTTAGGTTTCTCCCGCATTAATTTCTTGTTAACGTGACTCGGGTATAACCTGTGGGAATTGATTAGCTTGAAATGGGTCGTCAAGGGCCCTATATCCCCATGAAAGCAAGGATTTAGATATTCACACTTGCGACCTACGAAATTAGGAGGACATCTTTTTTTTAAAAAAAAATATATATTTATATTTACCAATAAGCAAAAAATTGAATCATGTGATATTTTCCATTAACAAAGAAAAATTTAACTGAATATTCTTTTTAATCTTGATTTCGTATTCTCTCATAGTCATCAAATAGAGCATCACGTGACTTTCATTTCTTTTTAACTATGAAAACATGAGGAATGTGAGTTAGGCCTAGTTTTATTATGAGATGCTAAAGAAGAACCAATATTGTAATGATAAAGTCACGTGATATCTTATTTCGGTACGTTAATAATAACGAAAGTCGGGAAAGATCAAAAATACGAAACTTTAATGAAAATAAATAAATAAGCTATTTTAAATATAAAAATAATAATATATCCAAAACATAATTCTATAAAATTTTATAAATTTTAAAAAAAAATTAACATATTATTTCATTGAAATTTGTGAAAGTTTTGAACTCTTTAAAAAATAATAAATATAAATTGTTTTAATGTCAAATTAAAGTTTCGAAATTGCTGAAATGATTGACAGATTTATATATTTTTTAATACATAATTCAATACTTTAATATTGAATTTTTGAAAAATATCAATCAAAATTCTTCCAGATTATGAGAGATTTTATGATCGATTCGATTTCGTATATTTCCAAAGATGGTAAATTTTGATTTTAGGGGGAAAAAAGTGGAAGTCTACCTACTAGTTTAATGCGAAAGACCTAGCAAAATAAAAGATATTAAGATCCCTACAATATAATACTTCAAAAAACTATTAATTATTAATATTATATAACATATTTTGAAAAGTTATTTTTTTTAAATTTCTAATTTGAAAAAGTTTTAAAATTTTTGAAATTTTCTAAAAATTATATTATTTTTGACATGTTATTATTTTTATATTTTTTTAAAAAAATAAATTTTCAAAAGTTTCAGAATCGTAATTTTTTTGTTGTTGATATTTTGGACTTTGGCCTGTGCCTAAGGAATTTTATAAACTTGAAATTAAAACACAAAATTATATATTTTCTTTTAAAAATTTTAAGGTCAAAGAATCTCTGAACAAAAAACAGACATTTTTTTCAAAAAGAAATGAAGTGGTAATGAGAGAAAATGGCTCTAAGCATGGCAAAATGTTTGATATTTCAAATTTTTAAAACCATTATATTATATATAAATTTTATTTTATTTTTAAAAATAAAAGTTCAAAAAAAAAATAACATGAAATTAAAATTAGAAGAAAAAAAAAATTATTATAACATAGTAATTTTTTTTAGAGGTTTTCCTATTATTTATACAAAAAAAATATAATAATTGCTTATTCGATGAACTCCAAAAATTTTATGGGACTAGAAAAACCTTCCTAGACTATTTCTAAAAGACAATTAGTTTTGTTAACAAAGGTTATAGATGAAAAAGTAATTTGAACCGCTAATTTTTAGCGGAGTGTATTTAATCACTTTTCCTATATGGAAGAAAGGGAGGAAAGAAAAAAAAAATTAGTTTTAATTTAATAGTCTATTTTCTTCTTTTTCTTAATATTTATTATAAGACAGTTTTTTTTAAACAAATCAAAAAAAAATTTTTAAATCGTTTTATTTAATAAAAATATATAAAATAGTTGCCACAAAATATTTATTTCCCACAATTTTTAGTTACTCGGTCAAACTTTAAAAAATTCTATTTAAAGGGGATTTTATAAAATAGGAAAGATTTTAGTTTCATATTTAAAATATCTAATGTAGTAAAGTTCGTTATTGTCACACTATTCATTCACTTTAAAATCAAAAAAATCACTTTTTTGGTCGAAATTTCTTTTTTTGAATTCAAATTTATTATAAAAAAACGCGAAGATTGATATATAATATGTTTCCTATAATATTCATCCATCTATAATAATACTTATTTTTATTATATCTCCATTAGGATGTGAAACATTCTTTATTTTGATGCCATTTTTTTTTTATAAAATAAAATAAATATAATGAACTTTATTTTCTCCTCTTTTCCCACTGTCACCTTTGAGGTGTTAAAAATGTTTTAATATAGTTTATTGATTTCATTTTGATTTGATTTGATGACACAAACGCCAAAAAAAATGAATCCTAAATCGAGAACAAAAATACCCTCTTGACGGGGTTGTAATTTTGGCGATTATTCTAGTGGATTAATAGATTATCTAAAAATCAAGTCGTTTTATAAATTAAAGAATTGCAGCTGAATTTGATTGCTCATTTCTTGGAGGTTGTAACTTTTAAAATATAAAAAAAAAACTGATTTTGATTTTGCGACAATAGATTTTATAAATGTTTTTCTCACGACAAAATATTCTTCTTCAAAAAAATAAAATCGAAGATTAGGAAGAAGAAAAGTGTGACGTGACATATGCACAAATGGTCTATAGACATAAAATATCTTCCTTCTTCTTCTTTTTATTTTAATACGAGGAAGAGGGTTGACAATTTCTATACAATGAATCTTTATAATCTGGCTTAAAGATCTCCATACAGTCTTGGGGGTCATATTAGTGAAATATAGATGAAAACTTTGATAAGGCGAACTAACTTTAACCACTGGGATTTATCCTTATGGTATAATTTTTCTACTTCAAATTTTAAATAAATTTGATTTAGATGAATCTTAGAGAGAAGCCGATGGCTATTTTATTTATATATATATAAGTTTATTCGAGTTTATTTAGTTAAAAAAAATACTTTTTTAATTACAATTTAAGTTAAACATTCCTAAAATGTTTTTTAAATAAAAAGAACAGACCATAAGTATCTAGATAGATAAGAATGATAGATAGATATTTATATTATTTACATATAAAATATACAATACAAGTTATTATTAGAACAAATCATAAAAATTATATTTTTATTAATTAATTAGATATAAAAACAATCAAAAAATTTGATAAGATATGATGAATAACCTCCTAGGGTGATTAAAATTATTTAAATAATATTTTATTTTAATTTAAAATAAAAAACATGTTTCTGAAAGACAATTCGAGAATAAAATTTAAATTAAAAATATGAAAATGGAAATGGAAAGAGGATAAGATTTTTCACACATAAATTACATTTAACTTTTATAAATAATCCCAATTTTTTTCTTTAGTATAGGGACTAGCTGGACGGGGTATAGTGGTTCAACAAAAAAAAGTTCATTTTTAAAGGTAGAGTTTATCGGGGGCTAACTTGATTGTCAGTTAGAATTCAGTGGTTAAACGCTCAATGTATAATTATCAATTTATCGGAGGTAATATCAAAAAATCCCCCTTTTTATGCGCTTTTTCATATCAATTTTGAATATTTTTTTTCTTAATCAAACAATGTTTAAAATAATTTTATTAAATTTAATTTATTATTTGGAATATATTTAAATTTAAATAACTCTTTTCTTCATAATAAAACAATTACATTTTACATAGAAACAAATATTTCAATAATTAATTAATTATAAAAACATTTTTATAACAATTGTTTTACAAAAAGCTCTCAAAAAATCTCAATAAAAAAAATTAAATTAAATTGTTTTAATAAAATAAATGGAATTTTTATTGTATTTATTTTTTTTTAAAAAATCTAAAAATAATACAATTTGTAAAAAATAACTTTTCTCCAATTTGTCAGTGAATGGAGCCAAAAATTCTAGAGTAAAATTATATTTTTTAAAAAAAAATCAGAAATAACATGTAAGATTTTAGCCAAAATGATATCAAGTAAGCCTCGAAATTTAACAAATAGATGTCTAAGCATCTCTGTCATCTATGATCAAAATCTCCAGGTTTACATGATATTATTTTGGGTTATTATCTTTAATCGGATTTTTCAACAATATTACTTATAAAAGCTGGCATTTTTAGGTGGTGGTTTAAACTGGGCTAAAATAGGGTGGGTCAAAATAAAGACAAATTGTTATATATATATACCGTTTTTCATATTTAACATAACCCATACATATTATAATATAAATATTTTGTGTCCGAACAATGAACTTCCTTATAAAATGATGATAACTAGCGATTGTGACCTCTAGCACATGTGCACAACTCTATTAAGTGATCATATCTATTGGTCACAAAAATAAAAATTTTATTATTTATAAACCCAAGAACTAAACTGTTTTAGAAAAAAAAAAAAATTAAATCGTCCAAGTTTTGAACTTTTTTATTTTTTTTACTTCTAATAATTTTAAAATAATTTATCTTATTTTTAAACAATAATGATAAATAATAAATATATTATAGTAAATATATATATATAATATATAAATTATTATTTGTTAATAATAACTTTCCCACGCAAGCCACACAGTACATACATATAATTTATAAAGGAAAAATATGGCCTTTATTATTTGTTAACCCCCTTCTGCCCTCTCTCCACCTTATCATTTTCTTCAAAATTTCTTCTATTTTCCAGTGTTTTGTCTTTTTCTTTTTCTTCGACTCCCCCCCCCCCCTCCCCCTTCATTGTTATATTACCTTATCTATGTTATCTTTATGTTATATAAGAACGACCGTTATTTTTTTTTAATTTTTTTTTTTAAATTATCAAAATATAAGATTTTTAAAAAGTTTTAACTTTCTTTTGTAAATACTGTGATGAAATGAATATTGTAACTCATTTCGCCACGGTGAACTACAGAGGTAGTGTTGCTAAAACAGGCTAATTCAATATTTTAGCATAAAGGATATTACGTAAGCTTGAAGAATTTTCTCTTAGATGGCAGGAAGGTTTGGAGATCTATTTAACGAAATCTCGGGGCTTGTGTCATATTATTTTGACTTAAATCTTAATTTAAAATTGGCGAAATCGAATTATTTATCTGCAGAACATAATTGGGAGGGGGGGGGGAGGCAGGGGACAAATTTTTTTACCCAAATTTAGATATATAAAGACGGTTATCAATGTTCAGCCGCTCTTGTTTCTTTCCCATAGATTCATTTCCATTTAATTTTTCTGAAAACCTAAATAAATCATATTCATTTATTAAAAGC